ATGCATGTACATAACTGCAAAATAAAGGAAAAGAAGTAATGTCGCCATCAGTTTGTCTCTTGTTGGCGCGGCGGCATAATGAAAAATGGCAAACCGCCAAATTATGAACACATGCTGAGAAGAAATTCAAGACATGTATTGTAAACAGAGGAACACAGAACAGAATCAACCCAACAAACAAACAAACAAACAAACGGGCAAATAGACCAGAGATGAGACACAAATCAAGCAGTTATATAGTTGTTGTGTTTGCATGTGCAAGTGTGCTTTTGTTGCACACAGAGAGAAGAATCCAATAAAATCAAAAAAAAATAAAAATAAAAATATGGCGTAGCAAAGTAAAACTAACTGCTAACTGCTCCACACTAATACAACGATTGGTGGTAGAATACTACTCAAGACCAACACAACAACACCGGATGCATTGCATTTCTATTATAAATCAAATGAACAGGAGAAAGAATGGAGAATATATTATAACACGAGTGTGTGTGCTTGGCCTGACTTGCTTGCTTGCTTGCTTGTTTGCTGCTGCTGCTGTTGCTGCTGCTGCTGCTGCTGCTGCTTGGATTCAATGCACTTAATAGCATTTTTTTTTTTTTTTCGTTTTCTCGCTCTGACACATTGTTGTTTGTTTGCCTGCCTTGCTTTGCCTTGCGTCTCTCTTCGACCGGTATTAATGCAAACATGTGTATGAAGAATCACCAAATTTAAAGTTACCCCACCCGTTTTATTTGTTTGTTATTCGTTTTACACAATGAATGATAGAAAAAGAAAGCAGGAAAAAGAAGAAGAGGCGGATAAGAGAGTAGGAGGACTGTGTGTATTAAAGGCGCGAATTTTTATTTGATTTAATAAAAAACTGTCGTTGCACATTTTTCTGTTTCCAGAGCACTCATATAATAGAAAGCGAAGCAAAAAAAAAAAAGGCTTTTGTTAAGCGCAATTCTTTTTACAAACTTTTATAAATGTAAAAAAAACAAAAAAAAAAAAAAAATAGCTGAAATATCATATCACAAAAGTTCCAGTCAAACTGTATCATCATAGTCTCCTTTCTTTCTTTCTTTCTCTATCCCGGCATTTGTTTATTCACTGACTATATTTATTATATAAAATGACATTTTTAACTGCTCTCCTCATCAAAACGTCGTATTACATTCACAATTTTGGAATTTATGATGACACCGCATTACAACACACAGTTGATAACTGAAAGCATTATTAAAAAGAAAAAAAACAAAAAAAAAAATGAAATGTAGATATAAGCGCGAGATCAAGTACTGTAAAAATCGCACTTTTGTTTTTTGTCACGACACTATCTCCGAATTATTCATTTTCATTATATCTCCCCCGCCCACCCCCCCAGCCTATGCATCTTTACATCTTTATCACAAAATCGGGACATGAGCTCGTTATTAATTTTTATATTAATTCATCAAGGTACGTAATAATGTATGGCGTATTAAATTTGTCACATTATTTGTAATAACCGGAAGAAGATTTCCCACAAAACTAATAAAATCGTTGTTAGTTAACTGCACCTAGCGGGGTTTTGCAATTTTACCATAGAGAGATATTTAGAACATCAACCACATTTGGGAAATCATCTTTGATACACTTTGGAATTGAATTCGATTCGTTTAGGAAATTCATCTTGTTTCAAGTGCCGAGGAGAGGAGGAGGCTCATTTTAATTTTAGGGAGAAGAAGAGAATGAAAAGAACGAAATCATCGCAAGTATGCATTTTTTTTATGTTTTTGTCACAGGTGCCGTGACAATTTCTAAAAATTCCCTCTCGTCCGAGGAGCTGTGATTCAATACCTTTACGCTACTATATGTGAGGCTATGGAGTCTAAAACCAATAAACCAGATTCCATTCACCTAATAGAAACGAGTAATGATGATGCCATCGGTGAAATTACACTTCAGACTCAATAAAGAAAGTGTAAGGTTTGTTCATGTAAGAGAAGAAGCTATGATGCTCGTTTGGAGGATGTTCCATTTGAAACAAATCGCAAAAAAACCGAAAGTGAATGTGATCCGCAGAGAAATACGCCAACTTAAAGAAAAGGGCCTGAGTTATTGAAACTAGCGTAAAGAGGAAAATATGTAGTTGGTTGATTTCAAAAGTATCAGGAATGATTCCATAGACAGAGAATTGGGGAAAGAGGAGGAGGTAGCCTTGCGTACCTTCCTGTTAAAGGCAAGAGAGGATGAGGGTCAGAAGCAAGGAGATTGCTCCAAGGGCACGATTACACATAACATACAAAAGCTCGATCAAATTTTTCTGAAGGGAGCCGGTGCGAAGAAGTTCTCGCACCGGTTCAAATTGGAGGGATAGGCATAATTTTTTCCTGTTTTGAAAGCGCGTTAAGGACAGCCTCTAAAGAATCTTAAATAATTTTCAATGAGCTTTGGCCAGACCGGAAAGCATCAGAGCCAGCCCTTGAACTCACACGCAATTAATCAATCAATCCATTGTCTTTTAGCAAATATGCAAGTGTCAAGCTACAGCTTGAAAAGCATTGCTACGAATTTAGAAATTCTATATAATAATAAGAGAATGGGGATCGAAGAAATGGAATTTAGAGCTTTCAAATGCGATTCATTGCACGCAAGAGAGTCCGACCGAGACATCTTACTTATTATTCCAGTTTATAAGTGCGTCTTATTATGTAATCGGGATTACTTTGTTTTCCGATTTCAGTTTTTCTAAATATACATTCTTTCGCGTCTTCAGAGGGCAAATTTCAAAACGGATTTAATAGGACACTCAAAGCTTAGCCCAGTGTTTAGTGTTCACGGTTTCAGTCCCAGAAATGCATAATAAATATTATCTAAAATTAATTGTCCACATAGAAATTGTGTTACGGTTTCTAAGACGGAAAGCACTGATACGCTTCATCTGTTACGTCAAAAACAAAGTAGACAAAGTAAAAGTCGAGAATAAAAGCTTGCTTTTGATAATAAGAGAAAAGAGAAAAAATTCTATATAAAAATTGCTTTATTTAATAACGTAATAAACCTGACATGAATCTGACTATAATTAAAATTCATAGAATGTGAACACATATAAAGGCACGGCATCGCCACTAAAAACTATTGAAACTCGTTTAAAAATTGCATTTTTTAAACGATGTAGAAAACTCGTATAATATTATTTACTGTATTTATCTAATTGTAGACATATTTTTTTATAATCTTATTAGAAGTGCGATTACACGGTGTGCTCTAAAAAATTCGTGTTGCATGAAAGTTTAATTGCAATTCGATGACATGAATGGTGCCTGCTTAAGTACACCAGAAATCATTGCATAGTTTATAATAATTGCAAGGTGTACTACAACTGCACAGAGTAAATATATATACTACACTAAGGCAGAAAAAATATGTAATCCAAACACAACCGGTCTCTTCTATACAAAAAACAACAAACATGAAAAGCACATATATATTAAAAGAAAAACACTAAAAATGAAAATATAATATAATCATCCAAGAAGCAAATACGTACAAAGATGTAAAAGCGAAATACAATGCATGCAAAACTAAAAAGAGGAAGAACTCGAGGGAAAAAAAAAAAACGTTTAGAAAAAATGCAATTTTTGTTTTCTTTTTATTTTTCTGTATTTAATCGCAAAAAAACGTATGAAAAGAGAATTGAAAATAAACATACAGGCAGTGTAGTAGGAGAGAAAACCGCTTTCAAAATATACAAGAACACTCAAAATGGTGGTACTATTAAAAACGCAGAACGGAGCAAATAAAAGAAAAGAAAAGTGGAAGTGGAAAGAATAGTATTTTGGTCGAAGCTCCAACACCTTTATCAATTAAGGGAGGGATAGGGTTATGTGAAATAGCACACCTACGGCTTATGAATCAATTAAGTGCGTTTAAGAAGTGAAGTTTTCAATGAAATCATATTTTGCAGAGAATTTCAAACTATTGCGGAAAGGAAGAATTGAATTAAAAATAAACATAACAACTTCATTGTATTTTTCCCATATTGCGCGAGCATTCTTCCTTTTTTTTTCTGTTCCCCATATATTGCTTGTATAAAATCTCGGGACGGACTAGTGGATTGGAACATAATGCACAATGATTTCATCTCGCTTTCAACAGAATTATGAAGAAAGGGGAAGCGATAACACAGCTCGTCCATCCCATATCCCCAATAGGTACGGTTACCTATACCTTCGTGGCTTTTGTAAAGATATTCGTAAGCGTATCATAAACCAATATCAACTTTGTTCTATATACCGTTTAATGAATGGATGAATAATGAAAGGAATGGACGACGGATGGACACATTTCTTCGAGCGATTACAAATCGCTCAACAATTCTAAAATACCCCACCCCTACATACTGTTTGTTGATAGATAAAATAAAATTTAAAAAAATAAATAAATAATAATGCAAATAAGAAAAGGAAGGCTCCCCACTGAGAATGTAGTAATAATTGTATAAGAATTCGTTTTATATATAAGTATGATTTTTAAAGTTGAACGTTGGCAATACTGTTTAAACTGAGAGCCATATATCGGACATACACAAGTACACACACACACATATATATATATATATATATATGTATATATATATACACTCACACAAAGACGACATGTAACCTAACATTAATTGCAAGCACATACGCATACAGTGTAAAGTAATACGTCGCCGCTCAATACACATATGAAAATTTCAAAAAAGTGCATATAACAATTGTGTAGACAGAAAAGAACGAATAAAAGAGTAAGTAACGGAGAATATAAAAATAAATACAATAAATGAGAAGAAATTTTTTAATATGCGAGACTTGATTAAATTAATTGATAAAAGAGAAGGGGAGGAGGGAAAGGATGCGATCATTAATTAGCGGAGGTGGATGAAAGCACTTTGTATTCATATTCATTGTTTTTGCATTTAATTCATTAACAGTGTTTATTTGAACTACTACATTTACTTATGCTTAAATAAATAAAAAAATATATTCCCTAACCGCACTGCCGCACCTATGGAGAAAGTCGAGTGCACTCAACGCCCCTTTTATTATTTATTTATTCAATGTTATTGACATGTCCACATATGCGAATGTTTAACCACACATTTAAAAGCACAAGTGTAACCAGCCAGCGAACCAACCAACCGCTAAAATGATGCCGATTTTCGCCGAGAATTTTTACCAAACTCTCCGATCCGATTTTTCCTCTGGTTTTTGCATTTAATTGCACACGGTTACGGACATAAGCACATATACGCTATCGCGCATACACTACCATAATCGCACGCACATACATACACACACACACACACAGACACACTCACTCCCATATAAACTGTTCATATCAAAAACGAGCTCACAGAGATACTCTGCATAAGCATTGACGCCTACTAATACCAATAAATATCATAAAGCACTTGACTGAGGTTTTTTTTTTTTTTGTCTCTTAATCGTTTTTTGGCTTTTTTTATGCATAAAAAATTTATAATCGGCGAATTGTTCATAACTAAAAATTTACCTTCTTTTTCTTCAAATATTTTATTAATTTTAACAATTTTTTTGCTTTTCGCTTAACAAAAAACTTTTTTTACTTAAAATTATATGTGAGATCACAGGCAAAATATATATTTTTTTTTTGTTGCTTTTTGCTATTTTTTTTTTTTCTTTTTTTTTCTATATATTTTTACACGCACACATACGCGCAAACTTATTGCAAAACACGTAACGATTTCTGATTTCTTCTTCACTTTTTTTCTACCGACGAGATTTTCTTTTTTCGATCACATTTATTTGAAAGAATTTTTTATTCTTAATTTTTTGTGTGGTTTGAAAAACGAAAAACATTAAAACAAAAACTGAAAACCTAATTCAATAGATCCGAACTGAAAGAATTTTTGTTTTTTTTTTTTTCAATTTTTTTTTAGAGCCGCGGTGTAATATGGCGGACGCTACGTCACCGGTTTCAACGCTCGTCTGCTCGCACAGTCTCGGTCGTCTTCACGTCGTCACTTTCGTAGAACAACACAAGTTGGCAAAACGTTGCAAAAGCACAGATACCCGCAGTTAGACTCAGACACGCATTCATACACACTCACACACACACACACACACACAAACAAGTACATTAGCCAGAGTCATATGCATACCTATACACTTTTCTCACCATATATAACTCACTAACACTTATGCATGCAAAACAGAACGGCAGAAAACACCGCATTGGCAGCAAACAACGAAAGCTTGCAATAAATGCAGCACACTTAACACCGTAGACTTAAAAAAAAAATAAATAAATAAATAAAAAAAATATGCACACAGGCACTCAATCTCTTACACACAAACGACAACAGAGAGAAATAACTCGGCTCTCCGTAAAAATTTTTTGCAAACTTTGAGATAACAGATGCACGCCGCAGTACATCTCGCTCTCTTTCTCTTCCTCTCTCACGATTTCGCTCTATTTCGCTCTCTTACTCTCTTGGCAAGCAAAAGAAATAAATTAAAAATTAAAGAAATAAAAAATTCGCAACAAACATCACCAGCTACATCGTCTACAGCAATTCCACAGATAAGCATGTTTAACAAAACTTATTAAAAAAAAAGAGTAAAGAGAAAAGAGAAAGAGGAGTCCAACGAGTCAGTCTTATATTACAAGGGAAGTTTAATGAATGCTATATGAAGGCAGCACACACAACATTTAAAAGACAAATTTACGAACTTACAGCAATAATATCAAATGGAAAGTTATGTTATTATGTTTATTATTAGTATTAAAACAAAAAAAGCATTCCCCCTTCCTCCTTCCTTTTCACGCTCTTTTTCTCAATCTCTCATGGTACTTCTCGTGGTGTAGCTTGTGTGACCGCTAAAAATTAAAGAAACTTATAGATAGAAAATTAGCAAAAATTCCTCCATATACATGCACAAACTCTTATACAAATATGAAAAGCAAAAGTAACAAAAAGCTAGAAGAAACGAAAAAAAAAAAAAAGCTCAAAAAAATTTTTTTATTACTCTAATGATCGTTGTGTATTCTACGAAGTCACGCGTGTAGCGAGCGTGTGGAATGTAATTTCTTATTCTTTAAGGAGAGCAAAAAAAAGAGAGTACCAAAGACGATTAAATAGAGAGGAGGACAGTTTTTGCAAATATAAAAAGAAAAAAAAAAACATTTTTTTTTTCTTTTTTTTTTTTTTTTGCTTTTGTTTCTTATACCTTTTTTAAGACGATGAGAAAAAAAATTTGCGAAAAAAGAATAAATAAAAAGTTCAACGCAAAAGCAAATAAGCGATAAGCACGAAAAAGGTATAAGCAAACAAAATAAATATGTATGTATATCGTGCATACATATAGCTAACTTTTAGTGTATATCTGTATCTGCAAAATACACACACTTTTTGCATTTTAAATATAAAGATTCAAAGTTTAGCGTACTTTAAGAATAAGATAAGTTCTTTGTACGAAAAGCAAAAAAAAAAATACGAATATTTTATACTTTAGCTCATAATATTCATCATGCGTCGTATTGTGTTTAATGTTTATTTATGCTCGCCTGCGAAATAGTTTCGTTAATTTCGTTTTTTTATTACTTTCGTCTGTGAACACGCCTGAAGAAACGCATATCAGAGATTCGACCCTTTTGGTCGCCTTCATTTGTTGACTAAATCATTCGTCTCTTCTTCTCGAAAGGCATACACACGTCAGAATTTCACTCACCAGTTCGTTAATCTATATTTCGCTTTTCGCCAAAATTTTCTACATTAATACACTTTATAAGTTCACAGACATAAAGATATGACAAAATGTGGAGGGATCATCGGCTTGGCTTCGTTTTCTCCGTTTGTAGTTACAATTGGAAAAAAAAAAAGCAAATAGAAATTTTGTTAGTTAGTATATGTAATCTCCCTGCAAAGATCCACTTCATGTGATCAGCTCAGATAATTTCTAATATTGCGAATTGGTCAAGAGTAAAACCTCACAACCATTCTCCATACTTTTCTTTTTAATTATAATGGTACCTTTTGCGTGACGAACAAAAACAATATTGTTAAGTTCGAATCATTTTTCAGAGTTATTTTAATTTCATTATTCATTGAACTACTAACTACCATTATTCATTTCAAGCGGACATTTTTGACCTCCCTATACAAGTTAGAGCAGTTATGCATTCTTTTTTTAAAAAATGTAACCTTCGGAATATGCCCTTACTGGGCTTGTTTGTAAAAAGCTTAAGTAATTTTCAAAATGGCTCTGTATAGTACACGGGAGCAAAGTTCCATCAAAATTATTTAATTTTTGCGGGCGCAAGTGCTTCAGCAGTAAACGGACGGATGAACAAAATTAATCACTATGTATGGATTTTAGAATGACTATATGTCAATCAGCCTACTACAAATTTGTGATAAAGTTATTTGGTGGGCAGGAAAGAAATTGCTTTACTATGCTACTTCGAAAAAGTGATGAAGCAGAAGGGGCAGAGATAGCGAGTGAGTGAGTGAGCGAGCGAGTGAGAGAGAGAGAGAAGAAAGAGAGAGAGAGAGAGAAAGAGAGAGAGAGAGAGAAAGAGAACGAAAGAGAGAGAGAAAGAGAGAAAGAAAGAAAGAGAGAGAAACAGAGAGAGAGGGAGAGAGAGGGAGAGAGAGTGAAAGGGAGATCACGGAATACAAAATTTCTTTGCCAAACTATTACTAAAACAACAATGTACCTTTAAGGCGATAAATGTTCGGACAAATGTATGAAAATATCAGAAAGCGAACTTATTAAATATCTTGAAAGTGTAGTAAACTATATTGTGGCCATCTATTTTATTAAATTAAATTACGAACGAATTTCCTAATACACGCGGAATTTTCGAAATAGAAACAGAGACAAAGGCCTTGCCGAGCCATTGCCAAAGGAAGAAAATGGTCATACATTAAAAGAAAGCTGCAAGAAAGCATCATAAGTGAATTTGCAAAATATCCTGAAAATTATAGAATTGTTTTTTAATATATAAGCGAAAACTTATTTTATTATATTTAATGTGTATGCACACGAAAAAAGAATGACCAACACTTAAAGAAATGTCTTATCGTATCGATAAAAAAAATAAAACCAAACAGAAGCAGATTTCTGTGCATGTACATAAGAGATTCGTGTACGAATTTTTGTTGTTAGAAATGCGAAACTTTTAAGAAACATAGCACAATCTCTTTCATATATAACTATATCAGATAGATGGCTCGTTAAACAGACATAGACACGGACAGACATATAGACTCAAACATACATCATATATCAGACGCATAATGTTAACAAGTATTGTATGAAAACAAAAAAAATGTTCTTCTTCATTAAGTTTTTTTTTTCTTAAATTTTTTTCTTATTTATAAAACCACTTTTTTTTTTTAGCATAATAATGTTTGTTATTTATTACGCTGGACTATGGTTGACTGTGTGTGTTGTTGTATTGACTGACTGCATTGAATTCCAGACTTCACATCTCCTCCTATGTATACCGAAAAATATAAAATTAAAAACAAAAAAAAAAAAAAAAAGAGGAAAAGTAAGCTTTATATAGTACAAACACACACACACACACACACAATAGCCGCACCAACAATCCAAACATTTTTATACATCACACATCTTTGCGAATTATTTTATATGAATAGCTCAGCGCAACTGTCGACGTTCCACACACACAAAATGCGTTCCACAACATCAAGCACTAAATATAAAAACTCTGAGCGTATCTATCCCCAGCATGTCTACGTACGTACGTGCCACCATGTATATCGTTATATTTTTTATTCATCTCATATGTGGAAAAAAAGGAAGCGAGCAAGATTTCTTTCCAGCATCACATCACATACATATATGATTTGTATATGCGTATATGTGTATATGTGTATGCATGATTGCAAGTTGTTTAATTCTTTCGAGGCATGTTTTATTAAGGGCGTAAAGGGACGTAAAAACATGATGTGACAAAGAAGAAAAAGGAGGTAAAAATTTGAAATTTAGGTTTGTTTACATTTTATTTACTTTTTTTTTTTTTTTTCATTTCTTTCACATTATTCATCACACTTTCATGAAGAGAAATCATTACTTTATATAAGTAATAGTAGTAATAGAGTACTTTGTACCTCTTAGCATATAACTGGAGTCAAAAAATTTTTCTATAGATTTGATCTATAATTAGGTTATCTCAATCTCATCCGGAATCATACACATATGTTTTGTCTGTTTGGTCTACTTTTTTTAAAAATTTGCATTGTATGCAGAGATAAGTTTGCAGCCCGTGAACAAACACAAACATATTATTGTATTACTAATACCAATTATCATTATCAATTTTTCGATTGATAATGAACACGATAGTAGTGGGTCGAATTTAAACGCATAGCTATATATTCACGGATATTTCATACGCATAAAATACAATTACATTCTGCAGATGCAAATAATTATATGAGACTATGCATGCTT